CAGTCCCTCTAAAATACCCTGTAGAGGTGGTTTGTGGGAGGCAAATTCCCTCAACTTTTGCTTGTCTGGGAATTGTTTAATCCCACCATCATATTTAAATGATAGTCGTGCTGGATACAGTATCCTTGGTTCAAGGCCCTTCTGTTTCATTGCATTAAATATATCATGCCATTCTCTTCTGGCCTGTAAGGTTTCTGTAGAGAAGTCTGATGATAGCCTGATGGGTTTTCCTTTGTAAGTGACCTTTTTTCTCTCTCTGGCTGCCTTTGATACTCTGTCCTTGTCCTTAATCTTTGTCATTTTAATTATTATGTGTCTTGGTGTTGTCCCCTTTGGGTCCTTTCTGTTGGGAGTTCTGTGTACTTCCGTAGCCTGAGCAACTATTTCCTCCCCAAGTTTGGGAAAGTTTTCAGCAATTATTTCTTCAAAGACACTTTCTATCCCTTTTTCTCTTTCTTCTTCTTCTGGTACCCCTATAATCCGGATATTGTTATTTTGGATTGGTCACACAGTTCTCTTAATGTTGTTTCATTCCTGGAGATCCTTTTATCTCTCTCTGCATCAGCTTCTATGCATTCCTGTTCTCTGGTTTCTATTCCATCAATGGCCTCTTGCATCTTATCCATTTTGCTTATAAATCCTTCCAGAGTTTGTTTCACTTCTGTAATATCCCTCTGGACATCTGTAATCTCCCTCCAGACTTCATCCCTTAGCTCTTGCATATTTCTCTGCAGCTCTGTCAGCATGTTTATGATTTTTATTTTGAATTCTTTTTCAGGGAGACTAGTTAGGTCTACCTCCTTCTCAGGTGTTGTCTCTGTGATATTTGCCTGTCTCAGATTTTGCCCTTTCATGGCGATAGAGATAGTTTGCGGAGCTGGGGTGAGTGATGGCTGGGAGAACATCCCTTCTTGTTGGTTTGTGGCCTTCCTCTCCTGGGAGAACAGTGAACTCTAGCGGCTTGTGCTGGGCAGCTGCACGCAGATGGAACCTGTCCTTTTAAGACTTTCACAAAGTATTTGCTTGTTCCTGGGGCACCGGCTGCAGGGACCCACTCACAGGTCTTACTGTCCTGTTTCCCTAGTTTCCAGCACCCCCCACACGCACTGTGTCTGTGCTCTGGTGCTGATGGCCAGGGCTGGGTGTTTAGCAGTCCTGGGCTCCCTCTCCCTCCCCGCTCTGACTCCTCTCCTCCTGCCAGGAGCTGGAGTGAGGGGCGCTTGGGTCCCGCCAGGCCGGAGCTTGTATCTTACCTGTTTTGCAAGGCGCTGGGTTCTCGCAGGTGTGGATGTAGCCTGGCTATTGTCCTGCGTCTTCTGGTCTCTCTTTTAGGGAGAGTTGTATTTGTTTTACTTTCAAAAATATATGTGGTTTTGGGAGGAGATTTCCACTGCTCTACTCATGCCACCATCTTGGCTCCACCACTGTGCATGCTTTTTTAAAGGGTGAGTTTTACTCTGTGCAAATTACTTTGCAGTACACGTGTTCAAATCTTTGAATTTAAAACAAGAAGGAACTTTGCCCTAGGTCTTTGTATTTCTCTTCTTTTTTGTTGTTGTTATTACTTATTTCTCCCTCAGCTACAGCAGCCTGTGTGTTAACTGTATCATGGTGTTTTCCCCTAGCAGATGGTTGCAGTGCTCCCTTCACGTTCTTGCCTCTGGTGTCCTTCAGTAGCTCCTGGGAGCTGTCCAGCAGCCTTAGCCCTGGGTTTGCAAGGCTTGGTGCAGAGATGGTGAGTCTGCCTTTTCCCTGCTATTTGTACTTGGTGAATCTCATTGATTTTCTGTAATAAAATACTTACAGTTTTATGATTGGTGACTTGAGGAAGGAAATAAAGTTCCAAATAAGCAGACTGGCTCACATTGGAACGTTCAGGGTGTATGTGACATGAGTAAGTTAATCACTTTGTCACTCTGGCACAGCTGGGCCTCTGTCAGTCCCATCCTCAGGGCACTGAAAGAAGTCACCCCTGACTTAAGAGTGAACTCTGTACAGTCATTTCCAAATCTAAGTATTGAAGGCCTTAGAATTGTTCATGTCCTTTTGTTTATCTTGAATTTTTTTGCCTACCACATGTATACATTGCTTCAGTACATTTCCCCAGATTATTAAATGATCTCTATTTAGACAAGAAAATTAACAGAATGAGAAGCATTTTAAAAAGGTTAGGCTTTGAATATTCTTTAACTATAACTCTTAGTTTATTTCTTACTGTGTCTGACTTCATTCTCTCGCTATCACCCACTGAGGAAGAATAGGGATAATAATGGCTTATTCATGGTCCATTGTGAATATTCTATTTATATATGTAAGCGTATCTTTGAGAACTATATTTCTTTCCCATATGCTAAACAGAAGTGTAGAAAACAGAATGTTATGTTGCTATATAAATAACAGGAAACTTCAAAACACCATATGCATGGTGACAGGACATCACCCTGGCATTTTCCAAGCCAAAACTGAGGTGAAACTTCTGTGAGTGAATTCTCAGGAAATTGAATTTACATTATGAACAAAAAATATTTGTTGGCATGTAAGAAAAATACACCAAAAGTGTTAACACTATTAGTATTATGCTTCCCTATTTCTTTATTGCCTTCCTTATTATTTCCGCATTTCTATTTTTTTTTATTCCCTTTTGCTTTACTTTGTGTTTTCACTAATTAAGCACTTTAGGGCACTTCACATTGGACCACAAATATATTATGGCCTTTATTGTAGGCAATATGGTTATCAGAATATATGCCTCACTTAAAGCATTTACTCTAATAAAACTGCTTTAAAATCACTTTTTTACCATGTTAATAGGTATCCATTATTATTTTAAAACTTAGTTTTATTTTTCTATGTAAGATAAAATGTGAATGTGTGTCAGAGCAATTGCTAAAAAGTGAGAAAAAATTTAAAATTTTTAAATGGGGATTATGTATTTATATGGCACAGTGGAGTTTTTATCTTTTTTTTTTTGAGAGGGCATCTCTCATATTTATTGATCATATGTTGTTAACAACAATAAAATTCGGTATAGGGGAGTCAATGCTCAATGCACAATCATTAATCCACCCCCAGCCTAATTCTCATCAGTCTCCAATCTTCTGAAGCATAATGAACAAGTTCTTACATGGTAAACAAATTCTTACATAGTGAATAAGTTCTTATATGGTGAACACTACAAGGGCAGTCATCACAAAAACTTTCAGTTTTGATCACTCATTATGAACTATAAACAATCAGGTGAAATATGAATATTCATTTGATTTTTATACTTGATTTATATGTGAATCCCACAGTTCGCCCTTTATTATTATTATTTTTAAATAAAATGCTGAAGTGGTAGGTAGATGCAAGATAAAGGTAGAAAACATAGCTTAGTGTTGTAAGAGAGCAAATGTAGATGATCAGGTGTGTGCCTTTAGACTATGTGTTAATCCAAGCTAGACAAGGGCAATTATACATCCACAGATGCAGAAGATTTCTCTCAAAACAGGGGAAGTGAGGTTGTAAGCCTCACCTCTGTTGATCCCCCAATTTCTCACCTGATGGCCACCCTGCGACTGTGCCTGTCTTAGGTTGTTCCTCCCTTGAGGAATCTTACCCGTCTCTGGCTAACCTGTCACCTTCCAGGGCCATACAGGGAAATGTAAAGTTGGTAAGTGGGAAAGAAGCCATATTGTTTGAAAAGGTTAGCTTGTTACTTCTTTGCAGATTTATGCCCTGTGGCTTCTATGCCCAGCATTTGTCTTGAGGTATCTTTACCACTTGGAGGAATTATGATACTCGATGAATTCAATATGGGGAAAGAATTCTATTTAAGGGTTGTAATTAGGAAGGAAGAGAAAAGCTATAGAAGTACCAGAGGAAGAAAGCATGGGAAGACTGATTATTTCATTGACACATCTTCTTGCAGAGTAACTTAAGCATGTATAGGTTTTAAACTACTAATTAAATTGCACACACACATTAACATAATAGGAATGCAGTTACATAACCAAAGCAGACCTACAATTACCAGC